ATCATTCAAATGGGGGCCAACTCGCCCGACCATGGGCCTTCTGTGTCTCGTAGGATCCATGGGCCTTCTACGTCTCGTAGGATCCATGGGCCTTCTATGTCTCGCAGGATCCATGGACCTTCTACGTCTCGTAGTGTCCATGGGCCTTCTATGTCTCGCAGGATCCATGGGCCTTCTACGTCACGTAGGATCCATGGGCCGCTGACTCATTTATGGGTCTTGTACTGGCCTTTAATGGGCCGTAGACGGGCCTATAATGGAAATCATACGTTTTATTGGCTGGCCATAACGGGCCGTTAATAGGTCGTATCTGGTGATGCTATGAAAATGGCCCAACAGACTAACAGACCACAAACGGGCTGACTGTAACGACTGGCTGAATTTGGCCCACAAGCAGAAAATGACAGTAACGGGCCATAAGTAACCGAATGCTGCAAATAAGCCCAAGAATAAATGGGCTCTCAGAAGGCCGGAAGATAACATGGGTTGTAAACAGCCCAACTGAATAACGGGCCCTTAATGGGTACAAAGCAATACACTGTTCATTACGGGCCAGTTTCACCACGGGCCGTTAATGGGTCTAAAGTAATACACTGTTCATCACGGGCCAGTTTCACCACGGGCCGTTAATAGGCCAAGAGTTACATAGGGCCTCATATGGGCCGAAAGACGTCATGGGCCATAAATGGGCCAGAAGTGAAAACGGGCTGGAATCATATTGGATGGCCCAGATGACGCTACTGGGCCTAATTCGGATAGGGCATAACGGGCTTTGGGTTAGCGGGCTGTAAATGGGCTATATGCGAACAGGCCGTTAACAGGCTTTCCATGGGCCGGCCCGTCACCTTTTGACCAAGTCAAATGGGCCGGCCTTTTCACAAGAATGGGCCTCTGTTTGGCCGTGCCACGTGTCGACGTATCATAGGCGCCTTATGTCCAATGAGTGGATGACATATGTCCCAACAATGAGCCGACACGAGTTTCCTCTAGCCAATGATGATTTTACACGTGGAAAATCCCCATTGGTCGGGGCTGTTAACGGGTTATAGGATCCAAAACCCGACCCGATAGCTTAATGGCATTCCGTTACGGTGGATGCCACATGTCGGTCACCCTTGACGAAAGCACTTTTGTGACGCGCGATTTATCGTCATGGAAGTGGACACTTCCGTGATGATAATTTTGGTAATGTCATCGAACACTTCTACGACAGCATAGGTATGACTATCTCGATTCTGTCATAAATTTGTCATGGATGTACATGCATGACAAAAAACGCGACCTACTGTGACAAACACGTATCATCACGGAAGTGTATTTTTTTGTAGTGTGGAGGCATTACACTGAAAACAACATTGGTTTAACGTGTCCTTACCTTTAATAGTGCGACTGCTACATTTTACCAGTGGCATTACATAAGAGCGGCTCGGGGCAACAAACATCAGAACATGATATCTGGGTTGGTCCCATTTTTGTTCGGTATAGCCACCTTATACTGTGTGAGGCTAGCAAATCTAGTGCTAGACTTACTCTGTTGACTTGTCCCCCAATCCCCACTTTCTTTCCTTTTTCAACCAATAGATCGAGTTTATATTGAGTTTGTACTGTGTTTCCCTTTATTTCCCTATTATACCTAGAGACCACTTGGATAGCCAGTCTCTGCTACTTTTCGCTCCCATTATTTCCTATTTCGACCAAGTCCTAGATTCAGGTAACAAATCCTCCCCCACCCCCACCCCCTTTCTTCCTTGTTTGAACCAAGTAGTACTAGATTTGAGTGCATGAACTAGTTTTACCTCTTAAACGTAAAAAAATTAGGTGGTTTTCGAACAGCCGATCGATCCTATCTACGAGGGGGCCTGAGAAATAGTAAAAGATACAAATGTAGCGATGTCAGGAGCTCGGGAAGTAGAGCAAGGACGGTTTCGAAGGAAGTTATACCTGATGGTCACTGGGATGTCGCTAGGTGGGTGGCGGGAGGCCGGATCTGCCCACACTACGGCAGCAAGGAAGAAGGGGTCGGAGACCCTCCCTCGCCAGCGGTGCTTGGGAGAGAACGGCAATGCACCTTCTCACCTTCCCGGCGGAGAGGATCCGGCTGGATCTGTGACCAGCGGTGAGCAGAGAGAGAGAGAGAGAGAGAGAGAGAGAGAGAGAGAGGCCACCGCTGTCGTGTTTAGATCTGGAGAGGCTGAGATAGTGTGAAGAGAGCAACACTAGCAACCAAGCGCGGAGGCTCCTGTCTATATAGTGGAGTAGTACTAGTTTTCTTTTGTCTACCGGAGCCGGCTTGACCTCGTCAATGACTATCTAGAAGTCTTCATGCATGTGGGCCGGAGGCGCAGTTGTCGTCATTTTGGTCTGAAGCACCGGATTATAACATATAACACGAAAAAATGCCACATGACAAGAAATCATAACCTCACTGCCCAAACGAGACAACATGAATCCTGACAAACAAACTAGACGAGGAACAGAGCTCAAATTGAAGATAAACTCGTAGAAAAGGGGTCCGTCGATAGATGTCCTAATTAACATAGCCGGCTTGACCTAGATGGCAGCCGAGTAGTCTTCGTGCATGTGCCCCCAATGACTAGCCCAACTTAGTTGTCGCTGTTTAACCCTCGCAGTGATCCGAAGCACATGACACCTAATTTTGCGAGATGACAAGAAACCTTTTTTTAGATTTCTCACCACAACTACAGCCATGTACAGCACAGCCTGCACGATATGTAGACGATAGCCAATCCAGGCATGTCTGCTGGAGTCTGGTCACATGCATGGACGAACTGATCTTCCGTGTCTTGCAGGGATCGTCCAAGCACCAACGTAGTACAACACTTCTCTATTATGACCCGGCCGGAGTGTTAAACCGGCAGACAATTAAGACAGATGGCTAAGACAGACGGTAAACCGGCGAGTGTTAAACTGACAGAGTTAAGACAGACGGTAAACCGGCCAATGTTAAACAGGCAGAGTTAGGACAGATGGTAGCGCTGACAGGTGTTAAGTCAATAATAACCCGGCAGACAATGTTAAACCGGATTACAATGTTAAACCGGCAGACAATGTTAAACCGACAGACAATGTTAAACCGGCAGACAATGTTAAACCGGCAGACAATGTTAAACCGGCACACGTTAAGAAGCCCAGGAAGAGAAGTCTTAGTCCGAGATGGACTCTACATGTAACCCGCCCCTTTAACTTATATAAGGAGGGGCAGGGCTCCCCAAAGAGGGAGAAGCAAGAAACAATCTCTAGGGCTAGACACAACTCGAGGAGACTCCCTCGTGAGGATAATGAGATCTAGCCTCAAACAGCATGTAGGGTTGTTACCGGATGATGTTTCCCAGGGCCCGAAGCTGTCTAAACCCTTGTCTTGTGTTGCATCTCTCAATTCCGCTCAACCCCTCTCAAGCTACCACATAGATGCACGCGCCGTGATAAACCACCGACTTGAGATAGTCTTTGATGGAGCCAGAATATTCAATGTTTGCGATCAGAATTGTTGGTTTTGAAACTAGCAGCATTAGGGTTTGGCATTTTATGCATCGCTGAGGGAACATAATCTGTTGAGGCTAAATATGAGATCAGTTTTTTTCGCCTACAGTGGCGTGTTGACAAGGCCGAGAGGAGTTTTTCGGTAGCTGTTGTACACTGCGTATCAATCCGAGAAGGAACGATCTGTACCAGAGCTGGCAGGATTTTTTAATACATATTTGGTGGCAGAGAGGAATCATATGTTTCCAAACTGTTCGAGACAGTCAGGGATTTTCGGACAGCCGTGACCCGTTCTGTTACAAGACCAGGACTTTTCATAAAAGTGAAGATTACCAAGTCGCCACTAATCCGCCTTTGTCATGATTCGTAGCCTCAGAAGCCAGCTTGTACCATTGCTGAATTGCCACCCCAGGGAGTTTCCTTAAACCGCCCTGTTTCACCTTTGCCTGATGCATTTGTTTCTCAGCCGGTTCACCATGCTACGAGCCGTCGTCGCCCTCGTTGTGGCAATCGATGCACCTCTTCATCCGCCTTGAGCCGCCGGTGCATCTCCAACCCACCGCCGGTTGAACAGTCGTGCCAGTCCCGTTTATAAACCGCCCTGGCCGAGGACAAACCCATGAGCTGCCACCGTCGAGCACCTCGCCTTCAAGCTGAAGCCTAGCCTCCTCCAAAACCACCGTCGCGCCCGGTCGTTTCCTCCAAGCTTGGCCCCCTCCATCCACGTTGCCGCCGGGTCAACAGCGCGCCTCAAGCCGTCACCGCAATCAAAGGAAAACACGGACGAGGTCTTCATCCAACTGACAGCGACTCGGACTTGGGCTGCAATCTCTGCCTCCAAGCCACCGCCAAGTCACCTCCGATGAACTACCCTCCAACGCACCCGTCGATGGCGATGCAGACGCCGGCGGGCCGTACATCCCTGCGGAGCTGGTCCCGAATATCGTGAAGCACCTAACGAGCCTGCATGACTTCTTTGCCCTCCGCGCCGGCTGCCGCGCCTACCGCACCGCCCTGCCCATGTGCCGGTACCTGCTCGCGCTCCAGCTGCCGCACCTCCTAGTGCCCCACACCGCCGACCCCTCGCTGTCCCTCTTCAAGGTCCTCGAGCTCGGCTGTGCCGCCTTCTCGCTCGCCCTCTTCCACGTCCCCGACCGCCGCCTCCCATTCGCCAGGACCGGTTGGGGTCCTTACCTCCGACGGCGCCCGCGTCGACGGCGCCCCCGTCAACGGCGCCACCGGCGAGATCCTCCTCACCGATCTCCTCTCCGGTGTGTAGGCCCGCCTCCCCAGGCCCCCGCTGGAGTACATCCGCATCATCCTCAGTGGTGGCTACGTCTTTGCCCCTGTGAAGGGCCGCACGGAGATCCAGTACTGCAGCCTATGGTACGCCGTATGGCCACTGGGCCGTCGCGTCCTACGGTGGCGACTTTGAGATCCAGGACTGGCGCATTGTTAATGGCGCCCTCTACGGGCTCCTCCCCTCCTGCGGGCTCGTGATGGCTTCGCTCCCCAAGGACAACACAATGGAACTGTGGATGCTTGGGGGTGGATTCGACAAGGACCTTGAAGAGACTCTGAAGGAGGCCGTAGGCGGATCATTGCTGAGGGAGTGCGGTGGCGAGCCCCTCCTTATCTGGAAGGTAGGGCGCATCGATCTGGAATACAAGATTTTCTGGTGGGACTTCAATGTGGGGAAGTCGGTGATGACAACGATCCTAGGTGGGCGGACGTTGTTTATTGGCTACGACGATTTTGTCGCGTGCCTTGGTCCAGATGTTCCAGGGATCCGTGCCGACTGTGTGTATGGATCATTGTCCTGGAGTGGGGGATGGAGCGAGTATTCTCTTATCGACGGGACCTGTAAATGCTTCCCTGCACAGTATCCAAGTGAACCAGGGGTTGGTTTCGGGAGGCCGCAGGTTTGGGTGCTTCCAAGCTTGTTCTGCGACTACTGAGCTTCAATGGAATCATGCACCAAGCCGTTGCCCCTGCGGTCCGGTCTACATCAACGTGCCAACCGGCTTACAACACGCCGTGGACAACTCGCCCGTCTGCCTCTCACGGCCGTTTCACATGTCCGCGCTGGCTTACAACGCCGTGGCCGACTCGCTGTCTGCGCCGGCTTACAAACGTCGCGGCCGACTCACCCATCCGCACTGGTTTACCACGCAACGGCCGGTTCACCCGTGAGCGATTTCAACTTCACCTAGCGATCATCAATTTCATGGCGGATTATTTCTGGCCTGGCGCATCAGGTGATATCCATCTAACATATATTTTTATTGGTACATATTATTTATTGTCAAAGAGCAGTTTATCTTTGTCTTGGTCTGCAATATTGTTGATGCGGGACAATTGTTCACTACATCAAAACGACGTGATTAACTCACCCATCTGCGCCGGTTTGCAACACCGCTGGCCGGATTACTGACGCAAGTCATACGTGGCCATTCACAATCCGCCACGTCCGACCTCAAGTTTTCGTGGATTCACATCACGTTATCAAATGCCAAGGATATAGAATGAGTGTTGCGAAGATCGGTAACTCGCCACCTTGCTTCCAACTTCAACATGTGACGGTGTTCTGCTATTCAGCTATATGCCGGTTTATATCACGACCAAGTATGAAGAATCTAAATCCAACTCCCCGAGCCGTCTTAAGATTCGGGGGCTATGATGACATGACTCCGCAAGTCTTGCCAGTTTCAGCAAATTTAAGAACCCCAGGACGATGGAGTGAAAGATAATCCTGTCCCGGAGGCTACTGCTATATTGATGAAATATAAAGGCCGTCAGAGAATTTCCGGCTCAAAAAGTATATGACAAAATCCTGGCTCAATGAAGAAGTTCCGGGTCATCAGAAAGGATTCTGGTTCAAAATCCGGTTCAAAACACATCTCTTTCTCATAAAACGTTGAAGCTCTCGAACATCCGGTTTAAAATCCGGTTCAAGGGGAAATTTATCTCCCACAAATCTCTGAAGCTGTCAATATCCGGTTCAAAATCCCGGTTCAAGAAGAATTTATCTCTTGCAAAAAATTAAAGTTTGCCGAAGAGGACCTGTTGCCATGATGCACGGTTGAAACATGGGTATCCTGCTTATTGGCTTATCATATTATTGGTTACATGGGGGCTTCAGCTGACAAAGCGGAGTTCTGTCCATTAATCTGGCTATGACGCCACAATACAGCTTGGGAGTTTCACACCCAAGGGGCCAAAGAGAGTATGGATGCTAAGCACAACTCAAACGTAGGCACCCATTGAGCACAGCTCACAAAGTTACTTGGGGGCTCTTTGTGCACTTCAACAAAGAGTTTGAAAGGACCCTTGTAATATGCTATCAAGCACGGCTTGGAAGCCTGGTGTATTCACCTAAAACCCCGGGTTAACCTGCCTTCATCAAGTAAGCCACTCCTATCCAGGTAATCCTGGCATGACCCGCCAAACGTTTGACAAGTCAATCTTATACATACCCTGAACTTGTCAAAGTTAAAACAACGATTGGTTAGTTGGAGGTCCATCTTAAAAGGCTTTGTCAAATGGTTTAACTCAGTGGCCTGGCAGCCCATGAAAAGCCTCGAATTTGGGCCTGGCAGCCCTTGAAAAGCCTCGACTACATGGTTTTATTTGCTTTTGCCAAGTTTTTATCCTTTGATAAATTTTATGTTGAACCAGTGTCTATTGACCCGGCATGACTGTCAGTCATCAAATTAACCCGGTGTTCATTAACCTGGCTCGACTTTCAGCTACAAGTTGTCAGTACATGATCATTTATAATCTGGTGTTTATTGACCCGGCGTGGCTTTGGACTATAAGTCGCCAGTATATATTTCGATTGCGCCATTGGTATTATGTGCTTATAAATCATTGGGTATATTATTCAAATAGCCAACATGGCTGGATTTTAGTATGGTTATCAATAACCAGTATTATGATCAAGGTTTTCAAAGTCGCTTTAGCGCAATGGCTATCATATTATCAATGGATATGATTTATTCTACAATTCAAGGAATAGTCCCGAGTCGCTGCAGGCTTACAACCCGGCACTTGGGGCTACATTATTCAAGTTGAGATTACATCAAATATGCAAGTCTCATGTCGCTACAAGCATGCACCATGACACTTGGGGGCTAATGCAAAGTCATTTTTTGCTCATCTTATTGAAGACCCGAATCATCACATTGTAATGACCCGGCCCTTGGGGGCTACCAATTGCCTTTGTCAATAATTTAAGGTACAAAGCTTTTTATCCATTACATTGAAGGGTCCGTGCTCAGTTGGTAAAGCACAAGGCTCTTAACCTTGTGGACATGAATTCAAGCCCCATGATGGGGGTTACATCATATGATGTTATTTTCATTGAAGTATATATCAAAGTCCCAGCTCAATATTATCTTACTGAGCCGGCCCTCGGGGGCTACACGTTGCTGTTCAAAGTTTACAATATTATATTTACAAAGTCCCTGCTCATTATTGCATAATGACCCAGCCCTTGGGGGCTACACTGGTTGAAGTTTTTATTAGCATCAGGCAATTACAAGTCCCAGGTTGCTGCAAGCATGACAACCCGGCACTTGGGGGCTACATATGTGGAATACTCAATTCTGACTAGTGATTGAGATGAACAACCTGGATTTCTTCAAGATTGTGATATTTATATTGAGGCAAGTCTTAAGATGTTGCTATGCTACCTTCTTAAGACTTGGGGGCTACAAGTGATAGGCATATAAGAGGTATATCTTCAAGCTGGATGTTAACTATAAGTATGACCCGGTGCTATCAATATTCATAAACCGGTGATCTTGGCAATGATAAACCGGCAAGTTCTACGTCTTTAAACCAGCTAAAGATCAGATGAGTATTTCAAGGACCAATATTGTTTTTAAGCATTGGGAGCTGAATCAAAGGAGTTATTCTTCACAATATATTTTCTATGAGAAACCAATATCAGCAAGTTGATTATGAAGCTGGCCTATTAAACCGGATTTTCTAGAAAGAAGGAAGTGACAAGGACTTAAGGATGATTAGGATCAGTTTAACATGGATAAATCCAAATTAAACTGGGGGCTAATGTCGGGGATATACCCCGCGGTATGACCCGGATGGAGTGTTAAATCGGCAGACAGTTAAGACAGATGGCTAAGACAGACGGTAAACCAGCGAGTGTTAAACCGGCAGAGTTAAGGCAGACGGTAAACCGGCGAATGTTAAACCGACAGAGTTAAGACAGATGGTAGCACCGGCAGGTGTTAAGTCAATCATAACCCGGCAGACAATGTTAAACTGGATTACAATGTTAAACCGGCAGACAATATTAAACCGACAGACAATGTTAAACCGGTAGACAATGTTAAACCAGATGATGTTATGAAGCCCAGGAAGAGAAGTCAAAAATAGTTTAAGTCTTAGTCCGAGATGGACTCTACATGTAACCCGCCCCTTTAACTTATATAAGGAGGGGCAGGGCTCCCCAAATAGGGAGAAGCAAGAAACAATCTCTAGGGCTAGACACAACTAGAGGAGAGCCGGTTTCCGGCGACTCCCTCGTGATGATAATGAGATCTATCCTCAAACAGCATGTAGGGTTGTTACCGGATGATGTTTCCCGGGGCTCGAAGCTATCTAAACCCTTGTCTTGTGTTGCATCTCTCGATTCCGCTCAACCCCTCTCAAGCTACCACATAGATGCGTTGGCCTCGCGACTAAGTCCTCACACTAAGGACATCTGACGTGTTAACTCCATGACAACTATCGCTCGTCTCCCTCTTCTATTAAGTCACCTGACTTGCGGGGCCGGGGAGTGTGCCTATGGTCGGTTCTTAATTGCCATCACACATTTGTGTGCAAACACAATATGAAGCGCGTTCCATTCGGAGAGCAGCGTGCTAGACCGACCGACCGTCTAGGGTGCGACGCGAATGCGACGGGCGTGTTGTATACTCTGTACATGTGTACCGTCGTTTTCTAGAGGCTTTGCTCCATGGCGCAATCCATGGATACAAAATTAGTATACTGTATACTATTTAAAAGTCGAGGGCGGGGCTTTTCCTGCGCGGTAGGAGGCGGGGCAGTTTCACCTAGTCGGTTCGATAGAGACGCGAGAAGACAAGGGAGTAGGCTGCTGCAAACGTAGGGTTGTGTGATTTGACAGCGAGTTACTGCTGGACAGGTGGGGCCCCGTGATTTGACTTGCCATTATCATTTTAACTGCGGCGCTACGACCGGCGTGAGTCTCCCGATTCCTGACCACCTCCATACAGGTGCCTCTCCCAATGCTTCACCATGTAGTAGAGGCTGGCTCTTGCATGAGAGCCCACTTCTCCACTTTTTCCTTTCCACTCTTTCCTCCACATATGCAAAAATGCCATGTAAAGTGCACTATTGTACTTAGGTTGGTCGTAATGGAGAGTATCATATACTAGTATCATGCATATGATACTTTTGTATGCTACTACATCCGTAATGCATAGTATCATGTGTTGGTATCATATGATAGTTTACTTATTGTAATGCATGACACATAGTAGCACATCATTTAATATGATACTACAGTATCGTACTATGATACTCAACTCTCTCTTTTCTTCATTTAGTTTGATGTCACCTCATCAAGATTGCATAGTTGGCATGCATGATACAACTCCCATTACAAGCAGCCTTACTTGCTCCTACAGGTGCTAAGCTTGCCACATAGGCATAAAGTCTGATGTGGCAAGTTAATCGAGATGAGAGAGACTAGTTTGGTGACCCAAGGAAGAAATGGTGCTAAGCGCGTGTACCTAGGTGAAAAGACAATTTTGAGTCTATAGCTAATTAAATGAAGCAAACTTAGCAACACCATTTCATTGGAAGAGGTCACTCGTTGGAAAATGCAATAAATACTAGTGTCAAAAACGTTCTTATATTATGGGACGGAGGGAGTACGAAGAAAGAGATAGAGAGGAGTAAAAAAATA